AGAAGCTTATGGCAAGACAGATCATATGATTTATAAATATACAGGGTGTTCCATTTAAAAAAACATAACTTTAGTTCATATTTTCAAAAATATTTTTTTGGTAGAAAAAGAGACTACGCCACTGTATTCTACGTAAAAAGTTCTACAATAAACAGTTTTCACCTTCTCGATAGCTTTAACAATAACAGAGATACAGGAGGTGTCCCAAATTGCAAAATTTTCAAAAAGACCCTGTAGCTCGGAAACAAAGAGGGCTATGAAAATTTTGTTTACGGCATCTTCCGTTTGACAAAAAAATGAGACAGGTTTGTGCAAACCGCGCCCTTCTATCTTCACTAATAACGGAGATACCGTATGATTTCAACCAAAATGGAACACCCTGTACAACCACTTGGAAGAAATAAAATTAGTTAGAGCTGTTAACATTCACACAACTCATTCATTGTAATTATAAATTGTATAACTCTTCAAGAAGGAAGCCTTTAGTTGTAATACCAATAAATGTCTATATCATAATTTCCAGACCATCTTATTTCGATTTTATATTTTAATTTTTGACGAGAATGATCGTAACCTTAACACATTATCACAGAACTTACATTATCACAGAAACATTCTTTTAAGACGAACTTTAATTCTTAACTTGTTTCTAACTAACATATCTAAAAAATTTATCCTACAAAATTGAATATCAGCATATACAGATTGAAATAATTAATTCTCAACTTACATTACTAATACAAAAAAATATATAAAAAAATATATCACTCAAAATAAATTTAACTAATGCTTAAGTAATTTTTTTTAGAATCACCTGTTCGCCGCAAATTTTTCCACGGTATAATTTTTCCATGGTTACGACTTTACTCTATGGTTACGGCAGTAAAAGGGAGGCAAATACAGATAAAATGGTGACTCTCCACCTTTTTTAAAAATAAATATATATTTTTTTTAATTTCAAACTTAAATAAAGTTATTTTGGACTTATTTGAAAATGGCAAAGGGAAAATATGTTTCTTTTATCGAGATCTACCAGCCCTGAAAATATTTGCACTTTTTTAAGACTCGCCCTGTATTTTTTGAGAAACAGACACTCTAAAAATATATATCCAGTTATATTATTTTCAATCCAGTAAAGTTAATTAATATATTGTCGGTTTGTTTTTATCCAATAACATTTCAAATTAATTATGAAATTTTAGTATAATATGTGATAGTAAGTTATATAAAAATTATCTAGAAAATAAGTAATTAAGCATGTAAAAAGTATCCCAATTTGTTGAAAAATAAATGAATTATCATTCATTCACAAGACAAGCCTCTGAATTATCATACTGATGGCGTCTTTTTACTCAAAACATAAAGTTGTTATTGAAGCATTATCTTTTATTTTGAAAAAAGTATAATCGTTATTAATCGTAATGTTTGTTTTTCTCAAAGGTCTCTCTACTTTTTAGAAATCTTATTTTGATTAAAATTACATAATTTATTTGTATAACATATTTTGAGTTCTATTTTGTTTTGATTTTGCCCATTCGAATTTTTAAAAACATATTTAGTTTATTATGAAAGTATTTTTTTTCTAATATAGCTATTTATCTAAAAAATACTTCGTGTGCATGTACTCAAAAACATTCGTGCAACTATTGGAATGAAGTAACTTCAGTAAATTATTTTGACACTATCTTAATAATTTAAAAAACGCGAACAAAGTTAACAATTAAAATGTCATGAAAGAACGTCATTTATGTAAATTGCTGATCGTCCATCTAAATAAGATGCACGCACTAAAATTGCTTTTTAAACATTGCAGAATTGTTTTTTTAATATTTTATTTCTTGACCGATCTCATATTTATCTCTTCTAGTTTTCGAGATTCCAATAAAGATGACTCGAATTTTGGACACCCTGTACAGATATAATTATTAAAGGGCACGCAAATAGAGTTGCCACAAATCAGTGACAAAGAAATTAACAATACTGGACATCTTGCGTTGAGCAGAGTGGAAATATTCTGAATTCATAAAATAATGGTCCATTGACCCAGTGTGAGTTCATATTAATTAGTGGATATCCTCTAATGAGGGAATATAGACACAAACCTTACAATATTGCATTATTTTTATTAATTTTTTTATTTCCAAAACTTTGTATTAAAATATAATACAAGATTGTGAGGTTTGTGTCTCTATTCCCTCATTAGAGGATAGCCAATAATTATTCTGAATTCTTTATCAAAAATGTCTTTTATTTTCTACAACAATTCTTTCACATCGGTTTTGAAAAAGTAGCTTAAAATTGTTTACAAATTTTCAAATGGATAACTTTCATACGAACCTTACAATCTAAGGAAAACGTTTTTAAAAACACTTAAATAACCAAAAAGAGTAAAGAGAGCTAAAGTCCCACTTTTTTCTCTCCAAGAATGAGACGAAGAAGATGAAGTATAAGAACTTTAATTTAGGTAAAAGATCCATTCACCATACAGAAACTATTCATTCAACTAAATAAATTCTTTTAATAGAAAATGCAGTAGAAGAACCGACTAACTTAAAAGAAAATAAAGTATTTTAAGTTAACTCTCCTTTTTGCTGCCAAGGCTAACCTGACCGGAACTTGAAAGAGTTGTTAATTAATTTTAAAATACAGTCTTCTTATATTTTCTTTTCCTGTTGTTTGTACTACAGTGAAAATCGAAGTGTTGATACCTGAGGCATAATGCGAAATTAGGCATTTTATAAACTTCCTAGGCGATCTTCCTGATTGCAAAGTTGTTCACGACACGTTGAACAATTTTATGTTTATATAACAGCTCCGAAGAATTTAATTTGAAAAGTGATTGCCCTAAAAAATGACATCTATAGACGATGTGCATCTAAAAGTATTCTGAAAACTTTGTTTCCTAGAAATGGTATTCAAGAATCTTCTGTAGGTTTTGATGACGAAGTTTTAATCTACTAATTGCTGTCAAAGATTTTATTTTCACGTTGTGATGGCATTACTTTTGGCAAATTATAAAATGTCTAATACTAAGTAATCACAGCATGATACACATTCTTCTCTTCTTGTTTTAGAGGCATTTTATGAATTTACCTGAATTATTGCAGTAATAACGAAAAATGCATTAGATGCTCCGGTTTTGCCGGCTTTTTGTAAAATGCTGAGGAATTTTAAAAAATGCGTAAATACACAATAGTAGTTGAATAGATTCTTCAATTATTATCAGATTATTATAATGTAGTATAAGAACTGAGTAAATTTGAAGTGTTTTAAATAATTTTAAAATGTAGTTTTTCTATTTTTCTTAACATTTCATGACTTGTTTTCTTTTTCTTATAATGAAAATGAAAATGTGTTGACGTTAGTATTAAGTCACGCAAATAGAGTTAACACAAACGAATAAAAAACAAATTGGCTATTTAACATAACCAAACAAAGTAAAGAGAACTGCACCGATCGCTTGCTTAATTATTGACACGATCCACGCAACTAGATACGGCTTTAATAAACCCAGTTATTTTTTTTTCTCCCGAACGTATATTTAATTAAGCCCCCCGTACACTTCGGTTATTTTGTCCAGTTTTAACCGCACGGGCAGGACTGTTCAGTTGAAAACATCAGTGTATGTGTGTGTTCGGTCCAGTTTTCCCTTCCAGTCCAGTCTTCCCTTTAAATCTGCGGATTATCATACAAGGGAAAGGGAAAATGAGGTCTATAAATAAATGGTAGCAAAATGCCAAGATATACCGGGTGCATCTCAAAAATGGCTCACCCCTATACCTTTTTTATTTTTTTTTAGATAAAAAACGAGATTTGGTATGTTAGTAGTATATGACATAAATTAGGATTGACTGACGTATTCGGTTGTTTTTAAAGGTCTCTTTTTGTTTCACCGAAAATGACTACAATTTTCGATTTTTAAATGGCGCCGTCAGTATAGTTTTACTTTATTCAATAGAAAAGTCATAGAATGACATATCATATGTCAACTTTTGACATTTTTACTTAAAAAAATTGTATTTTAAATTTCAATCTAGAGTGCCATGGATGTGTTAAAAACACTAATTTGTAATCAGGTAGCCTTGAAAAAATAGATTTTATCGTCTAATGTTTTTCATGTCTTGTCCTAGTCGGTTTAAAATCGTTTTTTAATCATATCTCATTTTTTTAAATGGAACAAGGGTGGCTTATTAGCATATTTGGAAAAATAATTTTTACCACACACTTGGTATTTCGAGTCAAATTGTCGTTATGAACCGCATGTTACAATTTCAAATAAACCATATGCGAAACTGTCAAAAGTTTACCGAGGGTGTCATTTAAAAATCAAAAGTAGCCATTTTCGGTGGAACAGGAAGTGACCAAAAACAATGGAATACGTCAATGAATCCTAATACCTATAGGTACTAATGTATCAAATCTCTGTTTTTTTTTCTCCGAAAAAAATAAGAAGTTCTAGGGATGGACCACTTTTGATACGCACCCGGTATACTCTCGACCAAACAAGAACAATGTAAAAAAGAAAATTAACTCTCTAAGGGGGTGTTTTCACATAAATTTTACGAAAAGTAATTTCTGATGAAAGACTTTTTAAAACCGAACAAAATAACCGAAGTGTACGGTGTCCTTTACGGGAGCAAACGTACCCGCGACACGCATTCGAAAAAGTTCCAAGGAAACGCGCTCGCTATCAATCGACAACACCGTCGTCGTCGTTCGTCTCGCGCTGGTCCCCCCAGCGCCACGTGGTGGGGGGAACACGCGACACCACGCAAAGACTCATCACGATCATAAGCCGGGGCCCCAGTAAGAAACTCCACTTTCCTGTGATAAGCGCCGCACGGAAAACTCTCCGTTCCTACCGGTATATCTCGTCAAAATTTGCCAATTTTCCATCGAAAATAAATAGCTTGAAAAGCAAGAGCCGGAAGCGCCTAAAACGAGTAGAGAATATCTACCTCGCGCGAGATCCAGTGTGCATATTTCGGAATTTTTTATAGTGGTGTTGAAAGCAAAGATGAAATCTACGCTGCCCATCAGCTGGCCTCAGTAAAATCGGAAGTAGCGTCATCAACTTCTTCTGCCGCATCGTCTCCCGAACCGGCTAAAATCGCGTCAGAGGTGATCGAGGTTGATTCGTCGTGCGATAATAGTAGTAAAAAAGTGGTGGTCGAAAAATTGGTACCCGCAGTGGTGCCTGTGAAAGTCAAAGGGCCGATTTTGCCTGTGAGGCAAAGCAAGCCAGTGTCGGTGACGGCCAAGTTGTTCTCGTCGTACGAGCCGGCTAAAGAGGCCGAGCCGGTGGTGGCCAGGCCGCACACCGCAACCAAGACCATCTTCGCACCTAGAACCGAGGATATGAGCAAGGGATTCCTGACGTTTTCCGAGGAGGAACCAGGCCTAACAAGTAAGTACCCTATTTTAGTTTTAATACAAAACTGAGCCAAAATTAAATTGTAGCATTTAAACATACAGTTAGTGAAATCAAGTGACTTGTCACAGCGTTAGAACGTTGTTTTTAAGAAAGCAACATAACTCCATAATGTATAAATGAGCTTACATAATAATAATATGAGCTGCTTTAGATGTTTATTTTGATCAATCACGTGTTATTCATTCAACTAAATAGATTATTTTAACCTTCCATTTCTACGTAAGTAATCGCGTGGGGTATTTTCAGTATTGCCAGAAATTTTCGAGGGAATTTCTTCAACGGAGCATTAAAACACCTTCATATTCTTCAACAGCCCAAAAATTTCAGATCTTGTCAACAAATTTCGTTTTTTTCCATAGCAACTGATGTTAAAATTGCCTTCATATTGCCTTATATCTATCAAAAATAGTAGATACAATAGTACTTTAACCGCACAGGTAGATTAAATGATACTTTAACAGCGAGGATAGGTTAAAAACTTTATTTCTTCTCGCACGTTTTTTAATTGCTTCCATTTTTGAAATTTTTTGTATTCCTTTTCATAAGTTATTCGGGATTTAAATGGAAGTAGTTTGGATATGGCGTTTGTCGCCTCAGCCTGAATATCTGTTGGTAATTTACTTATTTCGTTTTGAGCCATTTCTGGCTCCAATTCAATCAGCAATCGACACGAAAGAGAATTAAAAAATATTGACTCAAAACTGACAACTAAAGAGACAGCTTTATTTATTTGTCAAATTACATGGAAACCAACGCCAACCCAGCACAATATTTTTTCTACTCGTAATAAATTCCTTGAAATTATAATTTCTGAATATTTTTTAACTCTTTATAAAAAAAAGTATTGTTTTATACACGACGATAAAATTGCATTATCGTCTCCCGAAATTAATTCTAATAAATCTTTTCTCCGTCGATGATAAAATACCATTCTATAGTCTTGTATAAAAAATAACTATTATTTTACCTATAATTCGGAGAAATTTTTTTAAAACTTATTTATGGTGTGTTTCAAAAAATGAATTACTTACAATGACTGCTTGAACCAAGAACAATTAATCGTGCAAGACGCAATGATCGGGTGACTTATTAGATTAGTTTTCCATGTACAGGGTGGGTCAAATTCGATGCTTTTAAATGGAAACACCCTTTTCTATAGGAGATAGACGAAAACTAATATCGGTGTCTGGAGCTCAATTTTCATCAAAAACATGATGGTGAAAACTGCACATCAATATCTGTTACCGTTTCGGAGATACGGGGTGTTTTTCAAAAATGTGCATTTTGAACAAATCGCTGTAACTTTTTTGCTATGGAAAATTTTGTATTTCTATGAGAACATTTCCAAAGCACCTTTTTACGTAGAATTTAATCGTTTAAGTATAATTTTTTTTAAAATTAATAATTTAAGAGTTATCAACAGAAAAATTGATTTTTTATTTGGGACACCCTCTATATTTTTAATTAACTGAAAAGAATTTAAAATTACCTTTCCAAAAATATAGCACACTTGATATTTTGTTGTAATCCCCTTCGAAATATACAATTTTTAAAAGTTCGCCACTTTTACCTAGTAGGCTTTGGACCCCTTATTAATGATATGCCCTTAATGCAACTCGAAAACATATTTTTCCAGCAAGACGACGCACCGCCTTTGAACGCTGAAGTTATCAGCAAATTTTTGCAGCCAATTTCAATAATAATCGAATAGCTAACCAAAATCCCAGCCGTTGGCCGTCGAGGCCGCCTGACTTAGTGCCCATGGATCTAATCCTATGGATATATTTGCGGAAGAATAAAGGTTCCTTATTCTTCCGTATAATCTAGACAACAATTAGAAATACTTAGCAGTTATGAGAGGGTATCTTTCACCCCCACTGAGTAATGAATTCCGCGAGAAATGTTCAGAAACTGCCCCGTCTGTCCATAACAGAAGACGATCGATATGTCGAACACCTGTAGCAAAATCTCATATCTTGGTTTGCTGTTTATTTTTATTGTTATTAGATATAGTTTAAATGTGTTGATGTTGGTTTAATATATTTTAAATTGTTATAAGACTCTGCATCTCTCATAGCTAATATTATTTTCGTTTTAATTGATGCTCACAGCTAGATTTTTTTTTGCATTACAGCCGGTGCCGTTCAAAGCCTACTTATTTAAAGCGGGCGAATTTTTATATACTCTATATCTCGAAGAGGAATCGAGCAAAATATCAAGGGTGTTATATTTTTGGAAAGGTAATTTTAATTTTTTTCAATAAATTAAAAATATACAGGGTTTTCCATATAAAAAATCAAATTTTCCGTTGATAATTCTTAAATTATTAATTTAAAAAAAAATACACTTAAACCATTAAATTCTACGTAAAAAGGTGCTTTGAAAATGTTTTCATAGAAATACAAAATTTTCCATAGTAAAAAAGTTACAGCGATTTGTTAAAAATGCATATTTTTGAAAAACACCCCGTAACTCCGAAACGGTAACAGATATCGATATGCGGTTTTCACCATCATGTTTTTGACAAAAATTGAGCTCCAGACACCGATATTAGTTTTTATCTATCTCCTATAGAAAAGGGTGTTTCCATTTAAAAGCGTCGAATTTGACCCACTCTGTACCTGTTCATTTCTTTTCAACATTTAGAACTTTGATTTAATTATGGTATGTGTGTAATAAGACGTGTTAAAAGATGTAAATGTATCTATTAATTTTTTGTTAAATGTTAAAATCTTTCGAATTGCGAAGTTTTTGACACCAGCATAGCTTTAAACTGAGGCATCCTTAATGAAACACCGTTAAAGTGAAAAAATAAATGTAAAAAAAACAATAAATTCTCCTTTTTAACAATAATTGTTATTGTGCAAAACTGTTAGAAACCTTGCCATATCGTCTTCTTTTTGAATAAAAATTCTTCAGCCCTTCAATCAACAAAATTTGACTGTCAAATCCTTCATATTGAAGGAAATTCCTCAATTCTGGCAACACTGGACTGGGTATTTTAATACTCCAATTAATTTTTGATGAGAAACATGAGAAAAAATTGGATATTATACGAGTAATTAACTAAAACATATACCCATATATTTAAATTGTAACCATTAAGACATTGAAAAAAGTAACTAAATATTAGTTGCGTGCATTTTAGGATTAGAACTGCTTTGGTCTTATTTGCTAAGGCATTGTTTACACATATGCATTGAGTGCACTAGGGGCCTTCTATCATTTCATGATTTATGATTGCTGGGACAAAAATGACACCATCCTTTGCCAGTTTTGGGCCTTTTTGGAATAGATAATGTACTTTAGATCTTTTTGGTTCCTCTACATTTGCTAGCACAAACACCTACACACTAAGGTTAAAGAATACAAGAGGTGGCATGTAATTTTGACATTCCCTCATTAAAATATCTAAGTAGAATAACTGTTTGGGGTATTAAAATAAAAAAGAGTAGTGGAAGGTTAATAAAAAATGGAATAGATAAATGGAGCAAATTGGAAGAGTTTTTTTTAATATTTTTTAAATTGGGGTATAAAGTCTAAACGATTTCTTTATATTTCCTTTCTTTGTTTTGTTTTTACTGCAATAAAAATTAAAATGTGTTCATGTTAGTAAGTCACGCAAATGAACTGAATCAAATTGGGTATTTAACATAATTAAACAAAGTAAAGGCGAATTGAACAAATTACACACTATATAAAACACATTTCAAAAACTCTTGATAACATCGAAGAATCTTAAGCATGTTGAAAGACCTCACTCTAACTGTCACAAGAGGAAGTTTATTAATATTGGCTCAGTTTTGTACCCTTAACATTAGGATATATAGTATGACCAATAGAGAATATACGATTACGAGGATGACAGAAAAAGCTGTTGATTCAAAATTGGGGATACCTGTCATTGTCATTTCATATATTCTTTAACTAATCATGCTATACAAAGTACAGTAATTTGTTTATGCTGTTTTTGGTTCATAGTATACAAAATGTTATATATATTTTAGTTAACAGATATGTTTATGGGGTTAATATATTTGCGTTTCAGTGTTATTTTCTATAATAGGCACTGATTCTATTTTTGATTATTTGCCGGAAGTTTACAATAGTTAAAATGAAATGAATATGAAGGAATATGTTTTTTTAATACTATCTAATATTCTTATACTATCATCGTTCATATTCTGTCATACCACTAGCTGTTCTTTATTCTACTAAAAACAAGGAATATGCCAATTATTCAATCAGTAGAATGTTATACATAATATATCTTTCTATTTGGATGTCAATATTAGAATTGATGATTGAGAACATTAGGTAAATTATAATCTGAGATGGTAGGGTTACAAAAAACGTACTTAACTTTGTTTTACAACCGAATATTAACTGAATATTATTTTAATAAACTGTGGCTTTGCTAAAGTTGTAGAGACTAATTTGTATAGTTTATAGAGCTTTATCGGGGCTTGTTTACGAAATAATCTTAGGAGGCATGTAGATGTATAATGGGCACATGATTTGAAGTTTCTTATCTTCTAACAAATTTCGGAACATGGCTTTCTTTCTAAAATGTTTAACCGTTATACAGATATATTTTCCATTTTTTTCTTACATTTTATGAATCCTTGTTTCCATATCCTAAACTATAATTATCTGATTAATATACCATATGATCGAAAAAATGGCGTCAAAGACAGCTGGGGAATGACAATCGATAATATTTTTGGCTAGAGTAATCTCTACACGTCTTTTACTAAAGAAAAGAAAAGATTTAAAAAGGATAGAAGTTTTCCTCAGACACACAAATCTATTTTCCAAAAAAAATGTTTCTTCTCGAATATATAAACTACACCATTTAAAAATAATTTTTACTCAATATTAAAATAAATTACTACTTTATTAAGTCCAACTGGCAGTAAGCGCCATTAAAAAATAAAGACTACGGGCTAAGTAAATGACGTCTAGGGCTTGAC